GCCCAAGAAGTTCAGAGTCCAAAACAAGATGAAACCAAAGAAGCCCACACGAACACACATAATTAAAATGCCAAAGGTTAAAGACAAAGATAATCTTAAAAGAAGCGAGAGAAAAGCAGTTAGTTTTCTCCAAGAAAGATCCCATAAGACTGTGAGCTGACTTTTCAACAGAAACTTTTCAGGCCAGAAGGAACTGATTTAAAGTGATGTAAAGCAAGGACCTACAACCAAGATTTCTCTATCCAGCAAAGCTATAATTTAGAACTGAAGAATATATAAAGAGCTTCCCAGACAAGAAAAAGTTTAAGGAGTTCATCACCACAAAACCAACATTACATGAAATGTTAAAGTCTTCTTGAAGAAGAAAAAGAATAAAATGGCAACAAACATGTATCTATCAACATTTGAATCTAAAAAACAAAATAGATGAACAAACAGACCAGAAACAGACTCAGAAATTCAGAGAACATTTTGATAGTTACCAGGGAGGAGATTTGGAGGATGGATATAAAGATAAAAGGATTAAGAAGTACAAATTGGTAGTATCAGAAAAGAGACATAAAGTACAGCATTGGGAATATAGTCAATAATATTCTAATAACTATGTATGGTGTCAATTAGGTATGAAACTTATCAGCATGATCACTTAGAAAGTTATATAATGTCTAATCACTGGGTTGTACATCTGGAATGAACATATTATTGTATGTCAACTGTAACTGAAAAATAAGAATTATAGAAAATAAAAAAATGTGTTATTCATAAAAGATTATTGTGATCTGCAAACACAAAATGCATCTCTCTAAGGTTAGAGACTTTTTTTTTTTAAATCCTCACTTGAGGATATGGTTATTGATTTGAGAGAGAGAAGAAGGAGGGAGGAAGAGAGAGAAACATCGATGTAGAGAGTGAAACATTGATAAGTTGACTCCCATACATGCTCCAATTAGGGATTGAACCCACAACCTAGGTATATGCCTTGACCTGGAATCAAACCTGCAACCTTTCTGGTGTATGGGATGATGCCATAATCAGCTGAGCCAGCAAGTTGGGGGAAATTTAAAGACTTCTTACAGATCTTTGTCATCTCCCTCCACCCCTACTATGGCCTCTTCCCCAAACACAGCTCACAGCTCTAAGCCTTGCCATACTTGGAATTTAGTAAACAACTATCAACAGAATGAAAGCACCAATCCTAAAAGGCCATACCAAGATTTCAGCTAAAGAATCATCCAACTTATTAACTGCCAGTAACTACACTAAGGCCAATCCTATATAATAAAGAAGTAATATGCAAATTGGCCATCACTCCAACACACAAGATAGCCGCCACAAGATGGCCAACAGGGGAGGGCAGTTGTGGGTGATTAGGCCTACAGAGGAGAGCAGTTAGGGGCGACCAGGCTGGCAAGGAAGAAAAGTTAGGGATGATCGACCAGCAGGGAAGAGCAGTTGGGGGTGACTGGGCCAGCAGAGGAGGGCAGTTAGGGGCAACCAAACCAGCAAGGGAGGGAAGTTAGGGGTGACCGGGCCAGCAGGGGAGGGCTGTTGGGGGTGACCAGGCCAGCAAGGGAGGGCAGTTAGGGGTGACCAGGCCAGCAGGGGAGGGCAGTTAGATGTCGATCAGGCTGGCAGGAGCATGGTTAGGGGTGATCAGGATGGCAGGCAGAAGTGGTTAGGGGCAATCAGGCAGGAGAGCAGTTAGGACCCAGCAGTCCTAGATTGTGATAGGGATGTCCAACTGTCCGTTTAGGGGTTGGAGAGGGTGCAGGGTGAACTGAGGGACACCCCCTCTCCTGTGCATGAACTTCATGCACCTGGCCTCTAGTCTATAATAAAAGTGTAATATGCTAATTATTGAACAGCAAATGACTGACCAGATGACCTTTCAGACAACCATCTGGGACCCACGCTATGACACCCACTGGCACAAGGCCAGCCAAGGCAGGTGCAATGTGATTGGTCAGGGGCCTGGCCATCACCCCATGATCGCCCCGAAGAGGGAAGCCGGTGCCGGCAGCAGGGGTGGGGGGTGGAAGGACAGCCTACTCTTGCATAAATTTTGTGCATTGGGCCTCTAGTACTGTATAAAAACTTTCATTTCAATTATTTGACTTGTATCAATTTTTACTGATCATGTTCAAACTGACTTCTACCATCTTTGCAATGTCTTCATTGTTGCTTATTGCTCTCACTAGGCACAAACTCCTCAAAGCAGGCATATGTCGTACGTATTTCTGTCTCTGAGAAGACACAATACTTGGTTCAGTACCCATCTGCTAAAGGGCATCCACTCTGGGCATTAGTGTAACCCTTCTTATAGCTGTTCTGACAGGTAATTACTTTAAAGTCATGATTTATTTTAGAGCCACACTATAATATTGATATAAACCCAAAATGTCTTATACTGAATTCTAATAGAATCAAGCAACATGTTTAGAAAAACTGAAGAAATTCTCGCTGAGACTCTCATGATTCAATTTGAGAAGTGGCCATCTCCACCGGTGCTGTCTCACACCAGGGTTACACAGGAGCACTGCGTAAAAACCCAAGGTTTTTACTGGCTCTAGCCTCATTCGAACAAAATACTAGAAGCCTAAATCTGCATTGCCTTCAAGTAACATTTCAGATACAAGTTTGTCACAACTGCTTCTTCTGACTTAATTACATTCATTCCATTTTAATTCTATCCCATTCTCAAACAGTCATGATATATTCCACCCTTGCCCACAGTTGGATCAAGTTCTGTGAGGGTCCTTCTTTTCCATCTTTACAGTCACCATGATACTGGGCCTTACACTTCTACTGGACTAGCCCAGCAGTCCAACTGGATTCTCTTCTAGTTTCTCTTGTGTTTAATCCCTTAGTCACACTGCTCCCAAACTGGTCATCTCCTTTTAAGCCAGTGGTGCAAAAAGCTGGAGATGATTTAGTCATCCCCACTCCTCCTCCTGCGCGCACCCCTGCCCCCCCAACACTTGGCAATATCTGGAGACTTGTTGTCACCCACCAGTGGGTAGAGGCCAGGGATGCTGCTAAACATCCTGTAATGCCAGGACAGGCCCTCTCACAACATAGAATGGTCTGACCTTCCATCACCTTGCTGCTTTGGGCCAGTCATTTACATTCTTTGAATGTTAGTTTCCTCGTTGGCAAAGGGCTGTCAGGAGGGTTATGTGCTGCCCTAGACCAGCAGTTGCCGACCTTTCGGACCTCATGGACCACCAGTGGCTGGTGGACTGCCGGCTGGCTGCCGCTGGATAGAGGCCTGAGCACAGGTACTGTCACACATTAAAAAACTGCTGCTCCTTCATCATTGTCTCAAACAGAATTATTCTCACAGCAGCAAGGCTGGAATGGACTTTGAGAATGGGAACAAAGGCTTACTAGAGGAAGAGTTAAAATAAGAAGTGTTTTCCTGGGCCTGGATAAACTGTATGTCAATAATACAAGCAAGGTTGCTGAACCACAGTTAGGACCAGTCCTGTTAGTCTGGAAAGATGGGAGTGCCTTATAAAAAAGTGCAGATATAAGTCCCGCCAGTGTGGCTCAGTGGATGAGTGGTGACCTGTGATCCAGGAGGCCATGGTTCGATTCCTGGTCAGGGAACATGACCAGGTTTCGGGCTTGATCCCTAGTGGGGGTTCTGCAGAAGCAGCCAGTTTGTGATTCTCTCATCACTGACGTCTCTCTCCCTCCCTCTTCCTTACTCTCTGAAACCAATGAAACATATTTTAAAACAATGCAGACTTAGGAAACTGCAGGCTGATGGGCCTGCCACCAGAAAGAAAATGGCCACATTAAGATGTTGTAGACTGAGGCTTGGGTACAATGACAACTGGATAGATTTGTAATCATTGGAATAACTGCCCATCCTCTAAATGGCCGTCTCCACTTCCTCTCCAAACCCACTTCCTTTTTTTTTGCAACTGAGTTTTGCCTCTACTATCTGAGGTCAAGCCCTTCACAGTGTCCTGGACACCATCTCTCCGAGACCTCCTCTGCGACTCCTCTTCTCCAGCCCATCTCCTGCAGACCATCCTTCCCACTGCCAATGCTCGCCCTCCAGCCCTCCGGGCCAGCTCCCCCCAGCCTCAGCCCCTCCCACACCCTTCCAGCAACCTGTGTCCACTTCCTCCTCTCAGCTGACTTCCGTTCCCACCACTCCGCTACCGTAGGGCAAATCCAAAGACACTTTCCTGACTTCGCTTTATTGTCAGGTTCGAAACTTGCTTTCAGAAAGCCAAAACAGAATGAAAAAGTTGCAGAAGTAGCAGAAACTTTAAAAGATTTTAATAACAGTAAATTCAGAATGAGTCATGATCTTGCAAGAACAGAAAAAACAGTTCTGCTGCGTACTGGTTCAAGGCAGCGGATCCAGTCCTGAAGATACCTCACAAAAGACTTTTAAACGATCGTTACTTCTTGAAGATGCAACCTGTTGCCCTGGGGAGTGAGTGTAAGTAGGAAGGCTCACCTGGCAAAAAGCAAGATCTTTTCTTGAATCAACCCGGCATTAAAAATTTCATCTAAACTCAAGGCTAAACGAATCTGATTGGTAGTCAAGCCAGTGCCCTAGCCTTCCATTTAGTGAGTGAGACAACACACCCAAACTAAGCCCAGACTTTCCGGCTCAGAGGTGAGTCCGAGGTCCCGGCTCAGTTGGGAATGCTCAGACGTGTTTTCACAGTCAGGAAACCGGCGCTACCGAGCACCCTGTGCTGGGGAAGGGCGCCCGCCCCGCAGTGCCCGGGGAAGCGCAGGGCCCTGCCGCCCGGCTCGGGGGCGCGGGCTGGAAGGGGACCGCGGCGAGCAGTCAGGAGGCTCCGGCTAGAACCACACTCCGCCCTGCGGATTTTAATTTCTCTCGCCCCCACCACGGCCTCGGGAAAGGGCCAGGCGAAGGTACCTGTAGGCAGGCTGGCGCCCTCCTAACGGCGCCCAGCAAGGCCAGGGCTTCCCTGAGCCCGGGACCGCCCGCCCGAGCCCAGCCCGCTCACCCGCGTGGGCCAGGGGCCCGGTGAGGTTCCCGTGGCGCTCCTCGTTGTAGATCACCACCGCCGAGGCGTTGCTCCGCGCCGCAGCCAGCACCTGGTCCTTGAAGGCGCAGCCCCCACGCGCCACCAGGGTTACCCAGGGCGCGGCCGCGCGGCCGCCCGGCGCGGGCACCACGAAGCGCGTGCCGGGCGCGCAGCCCGCAGGGTCGCCGTCCGCGGCGCGCGGGACGCCCACCAGGCCCAGCGCGCCCTCCTTGGGGGAGCTGTCGCCGAAGCGGCTGCTCTCCGAGACGCTGCACAAGGTCCGGTTGGTGTGCCGGTCCACGTACTGCAGGCTCACCACGGCCGAGTACCACTCCAGCGCCTGGCCGCCGGCGCCCGGCGCGCACAGGGCCAGCGCCAGCAGCGCCCGCAGCGCCAGCGCACCGCGGCCCGCGCCGCCCGCCTCGGGCCGCCGCGCCATGGCCCCGCCAGCCAGGAGGAGCGCCGGGCCTGTGGGAGCCCCGGCGACGGGGAAGCGGAGGAGCGAGGGCCTGCGTCCGCGGCCGCGGGAGAGCGCGGACGCTGGGCGGGCGCAGCGCATGCGCACGCGGAGTGGAGCAGGATGGGTGGACGGGAGGGGGCGGGGCTACAGGAGAAGCCCAGGGGCCCGGTGACTGGGGGCGGGGCTACGGGCGGGGGCGGGGGCGGGGCTACGGGCGGGGCGGCGTCGGGGGGCCGTGGGCTGCGGGAGCCGCGGACCGGGAGCTGGCGGCAGCCACGGCCGGCCTGCGCGCAGGCGCCGTGCCCGGCCACCTTGTGCAAGGGGCCCCGGGGCCCCGGAAGCCACGGGTACGTGACCGCCGAGAAACAGGAAGCTTCTCCGCGAGGCGTGGGAGCGGGATTGTGTAAACCACTCAGAGGATGCTCATGAGCAACTTTTTTTTAAAGCGTTTTATTTTTAATTTTTGTATGCTTTCAGAGCGGAAGGGGGAGAGAAGAGAGAAACATTGATGAGAGAGAATCATTGATCGCCGCCTCCTACACGCTCCCCCTGCGGATTGAGCCCGCAGCCTGGGCCTGTGCCCTTTCCTGCAATGAACGCGGGACCCTTCAGTCCGCGCCCATGCTCTGTCCACTGAGCCACACCAGCTAGGGCTGTTTGTGAAGAATTTACTGTGGCAGAGGACTTGTTTGTCTAAGACATTTAAAAACCCAAGTAAAAAATCCAAAGCTTCATTTTCCAGAAATGTTTTATTACCTATTTTGTAATACTAATGGTTCCTTAAGGCTGTTCTCAAGTATTATAAGAACACTTTTATTATGATATATATATATATACATATACATACATACATATATATATATATATATATATATATATATATATATATATCTGTAGTTTTTAAAAATATACATTTTATTGATTTTTTACAGAGAGGAAGGGAGAGGGATAGAGTTACAATTATCAATGAGAGAAAAACATAGATCAAATGCCTCCCGCACACTCCCTACTGGGATGTGCTGGCAAACAGGGTACATGCCCTTGACCAGAATCAAACCCGGGACCCTTTAGTCCACAGGCCGAAGCTCTATCCACTGAACCAAACCGGTCAGGGGTACAATATGTAGTTTTGAAGTAAGTGCATCAAACTTAAATTGTACACTAATACACTAATAGAAAAACAAAAGAACTAGTTTGGACCTGAATAAGCCTGCCCTGGAAACTCCTCAGGAGAAGCTGATTCTTGCTCCCTCCCTCCTGCTCCTGCACTGGCCCGGTGGTTGCTGCCACTCTCACAGGCCTTTCTTTGGGTCTTAGTCCCTCTCCCATTTTCTGTTTGTTACCCAACTGTTTAAAACTGCGCTCCAAAATGCAGCCTGGCCCGCACCCCGGTTTAAAAGGCAGGAAGGACCGCCTGCAGGAGAGGGAGGAAGTGCAGCGCAGTGCTCCGGAGCCTTGCTAGTGGGAGTGGTTCTTCGGGTGCCGCCCGAATAGGGCTTTCCTGAGTTCCCAGAGGAGGCTGAGATGTGGTGGGAACCTTTATTTGAGTGGGATTACAGTCCTCCATTTGCGAAGTCCCATTTCCCTCAGACTAGTCCTGGAAAAGGTGAAGCTGGGAGAGCATTGCAGCAGAGCAAAAAGCAATGCTCTGTTCCCTGGTGGAGCTGAGCGGCAGGGCCCCAGGCGAGTTGGAGTCTGTGGGTACACGGCGAGTGGGGTCCACACAGCGCTGAGCCCCACACGCCAGGAGTCAGGCAGCACAGCCAGGGAGAGAAGGGCAGGAGCTACGCTATATTTGGTAATTGTATCCTGTTAATCTGTCTCATGTTAATTTGATTACTAGTCCAGCCAGAAAAATTTAGAAAACTATTTCTCTACCTACACAACATCATATCATCTTACCTGTAAACATTTAAATGTTAAAAACAAAACATAATCACGATATTATCACAATTTTTAAAAAGCAAAAACATAATCACACAAAAAATTTGTCCATAGCTCTGTTGCTGATGGAAAGGGGGTCTTTTCACGGAGTCGTAAGAAAAGCATTTCTGGGACCTCACCTGGGAGGGGGAGAGTTAGTGGTAGATTCGTTGGGATTGAAATAAATGCCCCCAGGTCTCAGCTGTCTGTCCTGCTCTGGAAAAAGCCCAGCCTCCTCATCAGACCCAGAAACCCTGTGCCATGGGCTCATGCAGTTCAGTCCTGGCCGGCCAGCCGGCGAGGCCCCGCTGGACTCCTGTGGCCTGCTGTGCGCCCGGGCGGCTGCTTTAAGCTTGGGAAGGACTAGGCACTTAAAAAAAAAAAAAAAATATATATATATATATATATATATATATATATATATATATATATATATATATTTCAGAGAGGAAGGGAGAGGGGGAGAGAGAGAAACAACAGTGATGAGATAGAATCATGGATCAGCTGTCTTCTGCTCCCCCCCTCCCGCCGCCCCCCCCCCCCCCCCCTCGGGATGGAGCCTGCAACCAGGCATGTGCCCTGACTGAATCCAATCGTGACTCCTGGTTCCTATGTAACCTCCAGTGCTCCCCCCCTGAGCCACGCCCGCCGGGCAGGGCAGGACCAGGTGCTTTTTGAAACTAGCCAGTCAGTTTCTCAGGCCTGCAGGGGCTTCCTGTATTGGGTCCTTCCCCTAACCCAGCTGTTGGCAAACTCATTAGTCAACTGAGCCAAATATCAATAGCACAGTGATGGAAATGTCTTCTGAGAGCCAAAATTTAAACTTAAACTTCTTCTAACGCCACTTCTTCAAAATAGACTCGCCCAGGCCGTGGTAGTTTGTGGAAGAGCCACACTCAAGGGGCCAAAGAGCCGCATGTGGCTTGCGAGCCGCAGTTTGCCGACCAAGGCCCTAACCAATCCATGTCCTAGATCTTCTGGGATCTGTGCCCCCTTATCCAATCCCATCCTGCATAACACCCCCTCTCTGTATTTGGCTGATATGGCTGATGGCAATTCAGCATATTCTTGTGTCCCTGTGTTTTCTCAGAAAGGGTAGTTGGGTTGAGATCTGATCTGATACAGCTTAGAGTTTTGGCAAAACACCTCAGAGGTGGTTTTGGGCACTTCCATCTGAGAGCACATTATGTTGGGTGCCTTTGTGTTTTGTAATGTTAGCGGCCACTGATGGTCATCATCTAAATCTGTTATTTTATTAAGGATTTGCAAAGTAGTGACATTCTAATTCTATCATTCTTTCTTCATTTATGAGCTGGAATACTGTAAAGAGAAATTACCCCTCAACCAATAGAAGTGCAAGTTTAAACGTTTAATTCTTTTATTTCTCCATTTTCAGAGCACCGAATCCTCAGCTTGCTCCAAAGACCCAGTTCCCTGAAGGTTTTGGTGAAGGTCATGCTCTGCCACCGATGGGCTTCTTAGATTATGTCTTCCTTTCTCTCTGAAGTTGGCTGACCAGCAGCCATTTCTAGCGGGAATTTTCTTCTTTTTAAAATAAAATGCTTTTTTAAAGGCTACAATCTGTGCCCTGGCTTTGTAAAAATAAACGAGTAAGTAAGTAAATAAATAAATAAATGTATTATACATGTTCGTTGTAAAAGTAAAAAGATCCATAAGATATAGATAAATTGAAAAAAATAAAAATATCATAATTATGCCAGAGAAATACTATCAAATTTTGGTAAACCACATTCTAGTTTTGTTTCTATGACCTGTAAATATTTGTTTAAATGACAAAATACAATGCATATTGTTTAATTTACCTTTTAAAAACTCAGCAAGGTCTCATGAGTGGGATCCCTAACACGACCCACGTGGTTCAGGGCCCACTCAGGGTTCGGTTCCTGGAGAAGGCCGCACACTAAAATGAAGAGAGAGACTGGAAAAGAGTTAATTTGGGAAAATGGGGGCCAGGCGGGAAGTCTACCTCTAGTGGGAAGACTAACCCCTCTCTGGCCTTTTACCATTCCTTTTATTGAGATTCTGAAACAAAGACATCTCTTAAGGAGGAAGTTCCAACAGCAGAAAATCAACTTACATTTACATATGATTAACAAATTAAAGTTGCCTCAAGCACCACTATCTCAACTAGAGCTTTAAACTCTGACCATTCAGAGCCATCAAGGTCGGCTAGCTCTTTTTACATTTTATCTCCAGTGACAATGTTAGGTTTTGTTTCCCTGTTCCTGGTTCCTGGCACTCTTGAACATTTTTTCTATACCATGAATGCACTTCTCTACGACCATTTAAATGGCTACATGGTATTTTAGCATTTGAAAGCAACACTGTTTTTATAATCAATTTTTGGTTTTGGACATGTAAGTTGTTTCTTATTGTTCATATTAAAAATTAAAAAGATTTTTTGTTTATAATTTATAATGTATTATAATTTATATATTATAAATTTTTCTGCTTATTTATAATAATACTAGAGGCCCAGTGCATGAAATTAATGCACAGGAGGGTTTCCCTCAGCCCAGCCTGCACCCTCTGCAATTGGACATCCCTCTCGCAATCTGGGCCTCTGGCTCCTAATCGCTCCCCTGCATGCCTGCCTAATTGCCCCTAACCTCTCTGCCTGCTGTCCTGATCACCCCTAACTGCCCTCCCCTGCAGGCCTGATCTCACCCCAACTGTCCTCCCCTGCTGGCCATTTTGCCCCCAACAGTTCTACCCTGCTGGCCTGGTTGCTCCCCACTACCCTCCCCTGCTGGTCTGATTGCCCCTAACCCCTGCTGGCCTGATCTCGCCCCAACTCTCTCTCCTGCTGACCTGATCGCTCCTAACTGCATCTGCCTTGGCCCCCACCAACATGGCTTTGTCCAGAAGGAAGTTGGACGTCCAGAATATGGCCAGTTGACCCGGTCTTATTAGCATATTACCCTTTTAGTAGTATAGATAGATTGATAGGATAACATTGCTTAAATGGGGGAAAAAGCCTTTTTCAGCAGTGGGAGATGCTCTTGGCAGACAAAAATACATAAGCCCTATATCTAGACTGATAGCCAGCCATACACACTGTACTGCCAAACCAGTCATTAAAAATTTGAACTGCTTTCTTGCACATTATACAAACAGCTATTGCTCTTAAAACTCCTCCTCAGCCC